TTAACATGTCTGGTTAGAGCCTAGCTGATGTCTATCAATTATGTTCATTCTAGTAAAAATATCATACTAATAGGAGTACCAATTTGTCTTTTACATCAGGGCACCAACTTAATGTTAAATTCAGAAACAAAACTAGGGGGACTGTATCATCTTTATTATTTAATATTGATCTGAAAGTGCCAGACAATGCATTGGACAAAAGAACAAAATAAGAAGTATGATTGGGAATGAGATAGAAAAATTATTATTTGCAGATGGTATGACTGTCTTCCTGAAAAACTAAAGTAAAACAGTGAAAAATGTATTAGAAAAGGCTTAAAAGTTCAATGAGTAGGGCCATCACAAATAAACATACAAAAATCAACAGTTTTTATTGGAGGAAAAATACAATAGAGAAAAAAATCACTTTCCTAATAGTAACAACAAAAATCTAGCATAAACTTAACATAAATATAAATGAGCCAGACAAAAATAATAATAGCATTTCCTACTATAAGGAAACAGGGTTCCTTAGAGAAAATGTTGATTCCAATTCTGGAGCAGGATGTGCCTGGGTATCTTGTCACACCAGAAATCGAACTACCAAAGACTGCGAAGGTCAGGTCAAAAGGACTGAGAAGGCATCAACTTAAAAGAGGCTCTTGGTGGCCAAAGATAGGACAATTCAAACATCAATAAATAACTGGCCGGGCACTGTGGCTCATGCCTGTAATGCTAGCACCCTGGGAGGCCGAGGCAGGAGGATCGCTTGAGGTCAGGAGTTCAAGACCAGCCTCAGCAAGACCAAGACCCCATCTCTACTAAAAATAGAAAAAAAATTAGCTAGGCGTTGTAGGTACACACCCGTAGTCCCAGCTACTCGGGAGGCTGAGGCAGGAGGATCACTTGAGCTTAGGAGTTTGAGGTTGCTGTGAGCTAAGCCGATGCCATGGCACTCTAGCCCAGGTGACAGAGCAAGACTGTCTTAAAAATTAATTAGGAACTGCAAGAAATTAAAGTGCATCAAATATGTTGAAAATCTACAAATTTATGATGAATCAACAGTAGCAATGAGAAACTCATTGGCCACCTTTAGAGGAAGCTAGAGAACCAATTATAATTTCAAAAACTGGTACATAAAGGGAAAGAATCAAGCACTTCTGCCTTTTCTATGGGAATAGTATGCAGGATAACCAGAGCTGATTAGGGTAAGTTTCCTTCTTCAGAGGTATTCCAGCTAATGAATGAAAAAATGATAGAATAACACCATTTTGCAAGAACCCTAATGAAATTATGGATTTAGGCAATGCTTATCTCTTACTGCTAACATTTAAAAAAAAAAAGAGGGACAACTGGACATTATGTACCTCTAATAGAAATATAGACCATCACCTCTGAGATATGTTTTCCCCTCTAAAAGAAAATAAAACAAGGCAGATGTGGTGGTTCACATCTGTAATCCCAGCACTTTTTGGGAGGCCGAGGCAGGAGGATTGCTTGAGCCCAGGAGTTCGAGGTGGTAGTGAGTTATGATCGTTGCTACTGTACTCCAGCCTGGGCAACAGAGTGAAACCCTGTCTCAAAAGAAAAAAAAAAGAAAGAAAAATAAAACAAATTTGACTCTGATCACCTTCTAGACTTAACTATCAATTTACATTAAATGTGAGGTGGGAGGGGAAAAGGAGCTTGTTACATAACAGATAGAAATACAATCAGCAAAATTCAAAATTGGCTGAATCTATAGAACAAATGACCTGGTTTCTTCAAAAAATAAACTGCAAGGAAGAAAAATGAGGAAGAGAGACCCTAAAAATTAAGAAGAGACTTGGCGCAAATGACATATGTAGACCTGGTTTGGATCCTGATCTGAACGACACACTGTACCAATAAAATATTAAGAGAATTAAAGAAATTTGAAAAGACTAAATTTTTAATATTAAGGAATTACTGTTCATTTTTTGGATGTGATAATGGTATTTCAGTAATGTTTTTTAAAAGAGCCCTAGAAGGGCC